TTCTGCATCTCACCTTTGCTACCACTGTAAAAAGAAGGCCCTTTGAACCACAATTAGGAGCAGCTCTAGTCGATGAGTATAAACCTAAATACTTAGAAGGCACTTTAACAATTTGACTATTTAGCAAAGCAACAATAGTGGGCACTACCCTTGGACTTATGACTTCCACAGCTGTGGGCTTTTGACCAGTATTACAGCATGAAATTCTCTAATATGGTGCAGGTCTCAAATTCAGTCAGAAGTTCATAAGTTAGCCCATAACAGTCATGTCGCTATTGCAAGCCCATCTTGCCTGCCAGGCCAGTCTTGTAGCATGCATCATGCAGTGCTGTGTGCAACGGCTGATACCTTTTTTCCCCAGCAGCTTGCAGACTAGCAATGTCTAGCACTACAGAATCTAGGCATCAGGGAGGAATTTCCTGGTTGATTTGAGATGGATTTCTCTATGCTCTGCAGCCAAAGTGTGAGATGTCTTCAGCAATAGGGTCTTATCATGTGGTTATGGTGAGTAACCAATGGTAACAGCAGCAGCCTGTGTTGTAGGAGGCCCATGGGGGTATCCCTGACTGATAATTTATAGGGAGGTATCCTGTGCCTTGTACTGGAATTTGTATCAGTCAACCTGTCTTCTGGGAGCAGCATTATTCACACAGGCAGAATAATTGTGGTCAAATTTTTTTGAGTTATATTTTCAAATAAGCTTACTACATAGTGGGTTTCCATAAGAAATGTTCATGCATAACTTTGTTCTAGATAACTTACCCATGACTCTGTGTTGTCCAGCATTCACCACCCCCATTCACACTCAGTACATTCATTTGCATCTCACACTCCAAAGATCATCAATGAAAGCTTCACTTCCTTCACTAGATAACTTTCTAAGGCTCTCCTTTTTAATCCTATAACACTAATGTTTGAGCATATTAATTTGGGGAAACCACTTAGAATATACCTTGTGTTGTTCGTTATTCACTAGGTTGTGGATCTCGGAGGAGACATGGTAGTTGTGCATTCCCAAGTGTGGTGGTATTGTGTTCCCCGAAATATCGTGCACACTAATAAACTTATCTGGGGTCAGAGACAGAACAGCCACAATATTAAACACAGAGCACCTTTAATCCCAGAAAGTGAGCCTTTAATCCCAGGGAGTAGTGGTAGAAAGCAGAAAGGCATATAAGCGTGAGGACCAGAAACTAGAAGCATTTGGCTGGTTAAGCATTTGGCTGGTTAAACTTTCAGGCTTTTGAGCAGCAGTTCAGCTGAGATTCATTCTGGATGAGGACACAGAGGCTTCCAGTCTGAGGAAACAAGATCAGCTGAGCAGTTGGCCAGACCTTCTAAGATTCCTGCTACATCTGGTGCCCAATGTTCGTGATATGAATTCATGAAAAAGCTGCTTGTCTGTGGCCTTGTGGGCCCCAGCTCAGGCCCAAGCTACACTCGGCTGGTTGTGGTGGCACACTGGTTGGATTTGCTGAAGGAGGCAGAGGCAGGAGGATCCCGAGTTTGAGGCCAGCCTAGGAGGCTTGCTAAGGAGAAGCTTCGGCCGGGACTGAACCACAAACAGTGGTGGGACCATGGAGGCATGAGAAAGGAACAACAGCTGCAGAGAGACATTGGATAATAGAAAAAAACTACAGAATTAAATCAGCCTATATACTTTAAGGATGTGCTGACCTCAGAATGGAAACCAGGATATGCGTTACGTTGGGGACAAGGTTTTGCTTTTGTTTCTACAGGAGAAGATAAGCTATGGGTACCATCAAAATTGATAAAAGGTTCGATTTGAACAAGAGAGACTTCTTAATTAGAGGAGGTGATAGTTCATCAACCAGCATGAACATCCAATTTAAACTAACTTATACCAGTAACACATGCCTTTTCATTTAATCAGATAATAACTTGCCAAAAAGGAACCTCCCCAAAATTAATCTTGGGAAAAGGTTTTTGTTTTTTGTCTTTTAGGAGAATGAAGGCTAAGGAATCTGAAGAGACTGAACAAATGATACAGGACTTGACAATTCACCCAAAAATTTTCTTTTCAAGATTCCCTAAAGATATCTTCACCCCTAGAAAGCAAAAAGAAAAAGAGAATATAGACATAAGATAGATCATCAAATCTACTCTGAGAAAAAAGATAAAGAAATAATAGGATAAGTAGGTAGATCACTGAATCTACACTGAAAGAAAAAGGGGAAGATATAAAAATGACAAAAGGTAGAAATTAAATCTTCTTTTAAAAAGGAACTACTTGTTTTAAATAGGATAAGTATTGAAAAATTTTTGTCTGAATTTGTCAAATGTTACTGGACTGGATATTGGTTATATATTAATGAGTCTGTGAAATGTTAATGGACTAGACATTGTTAATATAATTCTTGACTGTATATATTGTATATGCTTATTGGATAGTTTTTCTTGTATTAGTTATAAGCTTTTTTAAATTTTAGACAAAAAGAGGGGAAATGTGGTATTGTGTTCCCCGAAATATTGTGCACCCTAATAAACTTATCTGGGGTCAGAGACAGAACAGCCACAATATTAAACATAGAGGATAGGCAGTGGTAGCACACGCCTTTAATCCTACCATTCCAGAGGCAGAAATCCATCTGTTCAAGGATACAGGCAAGCATGGTGACTCACGCCTTTAATCCCAGAAAGTGAGCCTTTAATCCCAGGGAGTGATGGTAGAAAGCAGAAAGGTATATAAGGCGTGAGGACCAGAAACTAGAAGCATTTGGCCTGGTTAAGCATTTGGCTGGTTAAGCTTTCAGGCTTTTTTGAGCAGCAGTTCAGCTGAGATTCATTCTGGATGAGGACACAGAGGCTTCCAGTCTGAGGAAACAAGATCAGCTGAGAAGTTGGCCAGACCTTCTAAGATTCATGCTATACCCAAGTGTTTCCTGCTCTCTGCCTATGTTGGCTGAGAGGCTTTACCAGCCCCAGTAGCTCCATCAAAGAAGTGGGTGGGAGTGACCTTCAAAACCGAAAGAATAAACTCCTATTATTTTAGACAACCAAGTTTGTGATAATTCATTACAGTGCCCCCAAGAAAGGAAAATAAAGCCTATGTCCTTTCACTGCAGAGGCAGTAAATAAGAACATTGTCTTTCAAACTGGTCACAGTTTTTTAAATTTGTCTGTTTCTATAGGTAGTCCCATTATGTATTTTGAATCACTTATTAAATACCGCAGTACTCTTATAAGCAGGTAACAAATACCTCCTCTTTGCTTAAAGCATCTCAGCCGGGTTTCTGTACTTGGTGCCTCCAGTCTTCCTTTAAGCAACAGATGTGCCTATGAGGCTGACCATTGCGTCCTCCTTGGATAACCCAGAGTGAGATCCTTGGAACTCACATCACGTCCTCCACAAGGATTGTAGATTCAGGATGCTTTCATTTACAGAAAGCATTCAGGCCTATTATCCATAGCTACCCTGCCACAAAACTCACAGAGACTAAATTAAAAATTTCTACAATTGATAGGCACTTAATGTGTGGCGTGGTTTTAATTATATCTTTACCACCCTTCATTATAAAGCCCTGTTGACTAAAATTTGTCTACTTGGGAATGTGTTTTAGTTTCCACAATAAGTACTCATGACAAAACTAATATTGCTTATTTCATCTTTAATATAAAGCCATACATATACTTTAGAAAATCACTATGTTTAATGAAAGCTGTACAATTACTGGAACTTTAAGAGTAAAAATTTATGTTTAGGTTTATATTCATGCAGACTTTATATCTGCTGAGAATCTGATGTCTGTTATCTAATAATTAATTATTGATATTCAATAAATAGAAAAAAGAAAGGAAAAAATTGAGGATTTTAGCCTTTGGAGTTGATTCACATTTTCAGACTTTACATTATAAACCAATATGACAAAATAGCATTAAGATAATATATAAAGGGAGTAGAATTGAAATCTCTCTTTATATCTGATGCAAACTACATCATTTCACTTACTACCTTTTAGGATGAGAAAAGGCAGTAACTGTATACAGTTTTTACTACATTTCCAAAATATTTTATCTCTAGAAAAACAAATCTTAGTCTTTCATAAGTTAAAAATGACTTCATTGAAATCCATAATCATTTTATTATCAAACTGAATTTTTGATTTCTATGCTTTGCTCTTAGAAGAAAAACTTTTACTTGTGAGATAGAAATCCATTTAAATAAGTTTATTCTGATCAGGACTTGTGTGAGTACAAGTCTGAGGGGATTTTTTAAAAAAGGTTCAAAGGAAGGAAAAAGGCTGAAGGGAGCTGGGCAAACGTTTATGTTGTTGGGATGATAGTCAGATGATGTAGTTAATCAAAATATGATACTCTGGGGTTAGAATCTCCAATTAATGCTGTTCCCTTTGGCCCACTCCTGACACAGGCTTCTACACTTTCCCATTCATGAATTAGATTCTGGGTTAGGTAATACAGCCATCATGATTATGGAGCAGCACATTTATTCTAATTGTGATTCTGAAAGTGATTTTTAGGAATAATATGACGTTGGTCAACTGAAAGATCTCCTTTCCCCCACTTTTTATTATTAATTAAATTTATTCATTTATTTTACATCTGGACTGAAGTTTTCCCTCCCCCTTTTCCTCCCATCTCCTCCTCTGTGTCTGTTCATATAGGGCAGGCCTTCCTTCCATGGGTGTCAACAAAATATGGCATATCAAGTTGAGGTAGGACTAAGACCCTCCCCTTGTATTAAGACTGGGCAAGGCAACCCAGTATGAGGAACAGGTTCCCCAGAGCCAGTCAAAGTATTAGATAGGCCATGTTCATACTGCTAGGAGTCCCACAAGTAGATCAAGCTACCCAACTGTCACACTTATGTAGAGGGCCTAGGTTGGTCCTATGCAGACTCCCTAGCTGTCGGTCCAGAGTCTCTGAGCTCCTATGAGCCCAGGTTAGTTGTTTCTGTGGGTTTCCTTGTGATGACCTTGACCTGCCTGACTTGTACAATCCTTCCTCCCTCTCTTCAACAGGATCCTCTGAACTCAGCCCAGGGCTTGGCCGTGGATCTCTGCATCTGTTTGCATCAGTCACTGGATGAAGGCTCTCTGATGACTATTGGGGTAGGCACCAATGTGGTTACAGGAGATGGCCAGTTCAGGCTACTTATCCACTATTGCTAGGAGTCTCAGGTGGAGTCATCATTGTAGGTTCGTGGGAGTTTCTGCCTGACCCCCAAATGCCTCCCCATCAAGACGCCCCTTTCATTACTCTCCCACTGCATCCATCACCCAACCCCAATCTCTCATGTTACTAAGAGACCTCTTGCACAAGATACTCAGAATATTAAACAGCCACAACAGGAGAAATGCAATTTCCTCCCTGTGATCTTATCAGCTAAGCTAACTTGTCTCTGATTTGAAACGCACTTTCATCTTGCTTATAAAGAAGTGCTTAGGCTTAGATCTATGGGATCAGGATACTGCAGCCGATCTATTTTCTAGGCTTTTTTTCTATGGTTTCTGACATGAGAAAAAACAAAAAACATGCAGTGTTTTTTTTTGTTTTGTTTTGTTTTTTTGTTTAAAATGGGGCTAGTAGTACAATGCTTGGCTACCACTAGGTGGCGGTACATGAATGTCCTATAAGTGAAAGGGCCCTGTATATTTCAGACTAACAATGTAAATTATGCACTTAAAACGTGAATGCATTCAAATACACTTCTCCTAGTGCACAGAACATCATTCATATTAAAATATTGTGAAATTATGCCCATCCTATTGAGAATTACTCCACCGAAGAGCGATAAAAGCAGGTATGTGTTAAAGACATTAGCTTGGTTTTCTTTTTAGAGCAGCACATGATCAGACATTTATGTTCAGGAGAAAGAAAACCGCATTAACTCTTCAATTGCTGAAAACTCTTGTAAAATTAATTATTTCACTTCTACAAGAGGTCTTTCCCCTATAGAATTCTTTCAGGACACCCTAGAAAGGGAGCATGCTGAATTATATCACTGTAATGATAGATTTAATAAAATACTGAAGTTTCACAACAGATGGAAAATAGCATTATTATTTTTTTTCTGAAGGGGAAACTCTGAAGTCAATGTTTGTATCAACCAAATGGGAACACAATCAATAGGTAGGAGCATAAATATTTTAAAACATAAACGAGGAAACAGAAAGTAAATAAGACATGTTTCATTATTTATATGAGTGTTAACTCTCATTATATTTGTCCTTAAAGTACAGGAGCAAAAAAAGAAGGAAATCATTTCACTGATTCATACATTTTTAATGACACTTTATTTCCATTGTTATATTTGCAAGCACATTATTACCTGTGTATAGTTTAAGAAATATTTTAGTTTATGCATCATACAGTAGGCATGGTCACAGGCCGTGGCTTCATTTAATTGGAAAATGTTTCTGTTACTTCATTGGTTCCTCTTGCATAGTAGGAATTCAGATTTCCAATCTTTGTGCAGTACTTTTTTCTTCCTCATTAGTTTTGTTTGCTTTTAACATAGCTGAACAGCAACCTTTATCATTCATTGTTTGACTCTACTTGAACCTCCACGTTTTCTGAGTTTCACTGGGGGTGTGCATGGCCATTGATATGAATTTCTTTAATCTTTGGAAAGTATCTTCTGGCAATGCAAAACATACAGAGAGCTCCTAGTTGTCTGGTGGATGCTTCTGAGAATGGACAGCCATTGGTCTGGTTCCCTTTCCTTGGCTGCATAAACTTCACCATATGCAAAGCCACAGTGGGCATCTGTTTAGAGAAGGCAGAATCTTGTCTGCTGTGATTTCGTCTTTGAGTAAGTCTGTTTATTCTCTCTTGTTTCCTTCAATCCCCTCTCTCACTTTTGTGTACAGAATATCTAAGCTACAGAACAAGCTGTGCTTTTTCATTCTCTGCCTTCTCTCCTCATCCCTCCATCCTTATTCTTTCCTCCCAGTTTTTCTTCTGTCTTTTTTTCTTAATATTTGAATTGGAAGTTTTTAAGGACAGATGAGAATGAACATGCCAATAGGGAAATGCGCTATTGTCAAATTGAGGTCTCGAGAGACACCGTAATGAGCATCAATCTGAAGTGATTTGGGACTAGATTGCATGGTTATTACAGGCATATGTAAACCGTATGTAAATAAACTTGTGACCTGCTTGCATATTGATCTTGGAAGTCATAACTAACTTCTTAAACACTGCTCATTCTGACTACCCTGAACTTTATCTTCAGCGTAGAAGATTACCTCGATTAAAAATAACAACAATATTTTCATTTCAATTGCTTTCAATACAGAGCCAAAGTAAGCATATGTGGGCTGTTGCTTCACTCTGTCATCCTCATTTGTTTGGCCACTTAGTAATGAGCTTGAATTTTCTTTGAGTTCTAATTCTAAAATGATGCATGTTGCCACAGTGAGTATGCGTTTTTATGGAGCTGGCTCCATTTCCCCGTCCTTAGGACTGGATGATTGTGTTTCCTTTCTGGATGAATTAGAGTAGTATATTTGAGATTATATTTCATTAGTTTTATTGCTGCTTGTTAAGGTTTTATTACCCTCTCTGTTTTATATTTCAGATTGGCAAACATTCGCCAGTGGTGCTAAGTGACTTGATATATATGAATCATAACTTTGTGACTGAAGAATATGCTGTCTGCAAACAGAGTGGGGCATTGGAGGTGATATTTTATAGTGACATTAAGCACATGCATTCACAGAACAGCTCCTATTCAGAGAGAAGCAACTCTATTTCAAGTTTTCTTCCATCCTACTTGAAGGATTCAGCATTTTTCACAAGTGGTACATAATGTGCTCTAAATAAGAATTCATTCTTTCTGAACAGTTATCATTTATTGCGTGTAATTGTTCTCTATCATGCAGCAACAATTCCATCCTGTCTGTAAAGCAGTCTAGCAATAGAGGAAACCAGAAAACCTTCATGTTTTTTTTTTCTTTTTTTTTTGAGACAGGGTTTCTCTGTGTAGCTTTGCGCCTTTCCTGGGACTCACTTGGTAGTCCAGGCTGGCCTCGAACTCACAGAGATCCGCCTGGCTCTGCCTCCCGAGTGCTGGGATTAAAGGCGTGCGCCACCACCGCCCGGCCAACCTTCATGTTTTTAGGTTGATGTTTCCTTACTCAGTTGAATGAAAAGTTAAGCGGGTTTAATGGACAGTTGCATGTCACATAATTTGTGTGCTACCAGACAGATTGATCAGAAAGTACCGGTTCTTCCACAGTTAGCACTCCAACTCCTCTAACCCAGTTGAGGGCAGTTTCTTGCTCTATAAATGGAGGTGAAGAATATATGCTCCCTGAGATACTAATAGTGATGACTGAAACAAATACAACCATCACCAGAGAGATCATGATTCAAAAACACCACCTGAATTTGGGCTTTTACTTAAGAGGTTTCACTTGTAAAATCTTTTTTTTTTTTTTTCAGAGCAAAAGTAGTGGTTATGTTTCCAGTTAAGAGATTACGATGGTATGCACCCACTTGTGATCACTCAGTCTACTGAAAAATGATTCACCTATGAATCGTTTTGAAGCACATTGTTATTTTTGTGCTTTACTAACCTGAAACTTGTTAATGACATAAAAATTCTGCCGAGCTAAGTGCTCAGTTACCAAACAACCTAGAATGCCTTAGGTATTTCAGAAAAAAGAAGTGTGTTTTGCATTTTTACATGGTTGTCTTTTATTGATAATATTATAAGACACATTAAACAAAGGTGGATTATTCATGAAATCCAACTTCTCCACACAAAAGCAAGTCAGTAAAAACCAAACACACAAACAAAGAACAGCAAAGCGCCAATGTGTGTGAGAGAAATCAGGCAACCTGGCAATATCAGCATCTTAGCCACAGAAGCAACAGAAACTTCATCCTTGTTTCTCCCGGGCAGAGCACTATGAGTGCCCCAGCTTTCTCCTCAGAGAACAGAGAAGGAACGAGAACTGGAGAGTCTAGTAGTCTTTACAACTTGAAGTAAATAGAGGGAATGATATTTAATTTTCCACTGATTCCCAATCCCTAGGGATCCTAGAAGAGAAATATCTGGAAACCTCTAATTATCTTCGGAAGACTTAGGAGTTTGAAGGCAAAACCAAACACCAGGACAGCAAATTGTTTTGAAAGTAAACAGTCAAGTGAGCCAGGTTTACAAGGAACTGTGTACATACCCCCTGCTCCCTGCCCCATCTCTTTCTCTCTTGCTTTCTCCTAGCTTCAGACCTCTACAGAAAGTTCTTTCAGTTCTCATACCACTTTGATGCTATGATGGATGAATAAATTACACGGGCAAAACTAAAGAAAAAAATGGGAGGAGGGAGTTGTCATGTATACAAAAACAAGAAGGGCAGGAACGATGCCAAGTGAAGACCTGAATTCTGGTTGCCAGAGGCCACTTAGAAGCTGGGCATAGCAGCATGCCTCTAATGTTAGTGCTCGGGAAGGGGAAAGTGTTGACAGGAAGACTCCTGGAGGATGCTGGATAACCAGTCTAGCCAGAACGGCAAGCTCCAAGTTCAGTGAGAGATGCTATCTCAGAAATATAGGTGAAAATAGATAAAGGAAAATGCCTGCCTTGACTTCTGGCCTCCACATCCAGCACACACAAGGACCACAAATGCAGGTTCAAGTACCCACATGAACACATATACACACATAATTTTTTCTTTAACTCTAAAACCCAACAACGTAAACAAACTCAGGGAGAGAAGGAAAGTGAGACAAAGACCAAAGCCTGTGTGGGATGCTAGGACTAAGTGTAGCACATAGTTGACAGTTGAGATCATCAGCAAGGAAGATTTTTATAGCTGATGCCCTCCATGTGGGGAATGTGAGTAGTAATAGGGATGGTGAGAATGGATATTTAAGATGATCTGTGGTTTTCAAAGTGTGTTTCCATCTTGTCGTTTTTCAAAGGACATCTTTAAATGATTTGAATGTCTTGTAATTACTTCTGGTTATTGTATTGTGTTTCTTTTTACCACAAGTCTAAACTGAGCTTGGATCACATACACATGGTGATGACTGAGGTTGCTCTGTATTTTTGCTAGACATCTGGTTGCTGAATTTAGGGAACTCTTGTGACCATTGAACATATCTCTTGGTAGGGAGCACCCAGGCTGCATTTGCAGGCAGGGATAGGAATAGAAACACAATGATGCTCTTCTTCATTTTGATAGAATGGCATCTATAGGTTGATAGGTTTGCCATCCTAGGACAAAGTCACTTTCCTGAATCATCAGTCTCTTAGAAGAGACAGAAAAAAACTTTTGTTGAGTGTGGGAAAGTGAGCATGAAAGAAGAGTCTAGGCAGGAGGCCCGACTCAGTGCCCCCGAGGCAAACTACATGCTTCCCAGATGCTCAAAATGGAGGCCTTGACGTTTCATTGAATTTTAACATCAAGGCTCTGCTCCTCTTTGTTTTGTGTTGAAAGAAGAATGACTGTGGTCAAAAGAACAATAGGTTTTAGCTAGTGTGCTTTTGCCAGTACTAGACATGGCAGTAGAGATCTTTTGTACTTATTCTCCTGTTTGTCAAGCCTTAATACTATTCCTCATTTTCTCCTGGATGTAAAAATAATGACTGAAAACTCAACACATTTAAAGTTGGACTCTGACTTTCTTTTTTCTCCTGTGAGTTCTCCTGTGAATTTTCTTGCTGGCGGGGTGGGGGTGGGAGGAGGGGTAGGGTGGTGGTGGGGTGGTGGTGATGGTGGTGGTGGTGGTGGTGGTGAATCTATTAGTAATTGTTCATCTGGAAGGAGTAGGGCCCCAAGAAACGCTCCTCTATACATACATCTGTCATATATTCCAAATGATCCAAAAATCTATAAGCATTATTTCCTTTCCTCAGTGACTGCCCCTTATGCTTGAGTAACCTTTGAATATGTATGAATGTGCTGGCTCATAAAAAGTTGTCATTGTGACCAGAGCCCCGTCCCAGGTCTCTGGACTTGGGGCATGAAGAAGTTTACCCATGAGCCCGCCCAGCACCTCTGGCACCAGGCAATTTGACACCATTATGGTGAGTAAGTAGAGGGTGGTGATATGGAGCGGGGGAGATATAGATAGAAAGATAGATAGATAGATAGATAGATAGATAGATAGATAGATATAGAGAGAGGCAGAGACAGAATCATGGGCATGGGAGAGAGGCAGATTTGAAGAGGCAAGGGTGGTGAGGAATGAGCTGAAACAGATACCCTGCTGTCACCAGATATGTGGGTCTGGGCTGCTGCCAAGGGCCATGACTTGGTCCATGACCCTGATAAAGAGAGAGAGGATAATGCTGTACAGAGCTGATCCTGCCCCTTACTTGCTGAAGCACTCAGGAGAGGACCCCATACCTCATGTGGGCAACACAATATAGCTGACCCTGTTCACAGGGGCATGGTCGAGCTGGCCTTGAGGGTGTGAGAATCGGAGAGCAGGTCGTGCCCCTCTTGTCTGCCATGTGGTGGCATGGGTGAGGGAAATATACCTTCCTCCCTTTGCCCCTTGGCACTTGCAGCATCTAGAGAGCCTGACCCAATCCCCCACCACCTGCGGCACTCAGAATGGGTCCTCCACCTTGCCTTGGCAGCACAGTAGAGTTGACAGTAGGCAGGGGCGAATGAACCAGCCCTGAGGGTGTGAGAGGGGCATACCTGATACCACCTCCCTTGTCTGCTGTGTGGTGGTGGGGATGAGGGAAAGATGCCCTCTCCTCCTTGCCCCTACTGCCTCCAACTGGTGAGGCAGCTGACCCCTTTACCAGCTGCAATATTAGGGAAAGCCTGCCCTGCACCTCATCTGGGCAGCACAGCGGAGTTGACTCTATTGACTAGGGCACAGGTGAGCTAAACCTGAGTACATGAGCACGGGAGACCCAACGTCACCCCGCATCTGCCATATGGCGGCATGCACAGGGAAGAGATGCCTACCCATTAATGCCGGAGGCAGGTAGGAGAGCTGGCCCTGAGTTCATTAGAACAGAAGAGCTGCCCCTGCCCACCACCAGCTGCAGCACTCAGGAGAGCAGGCCCTGCACCTCTCCTGGGCAGCACAGTAGAGTCAACCCTGTTGGTGAAGGTGTGTGTGAGTCAGTCCTGAAGTTGTGGGCATGGGAGAGCTGTCTCCACTAGTCGTCTGTCATGCAGCAGTGTGGGTGGGAGAGAGATGTCCCCCTTACCCCTCGCCCCTTACCTCCTGTGACAGATAAGCAAGTTGTAGTGGACAAGGGAGCTGACCCTCCCCTTCACCAGCTGCAGCACTTGGGAAAGTGGATCCTGCACCTTGCCTGGGCAGCATAATAGAGCTGACTATGTTGGCAGAGTGTGGGTGAGCCAGCCCCCATGTTGCGAGCATGGAAGAGCTGTGCCCATTACTCATCGGTCATGTGGCAGCATGGGTAGGGGAGAGATGTCTCTCCTCTCCTGCCCATCAATGTCTGAGGCAAGTGGAAGTGCTGGCCCTGAGGTCATAGGAGCAGGAAGACTGTCCCTGTCCCCTCATCTGCTGCAGCACTTGGGGGGGGGTGGCCCCCTCACCTCTCCTGGGCAACACAGTAGAGTTGGCCCTGAAGTTGTAGGTGTTGGAAAATCGACCCCAGGAAGTAAAAGCCAGAAAACTGGCCCTGCCCCCTACCCTTTGCTGCTAGGGGTGAACTGGCCAGGACAACGCTGGAGAGCTTACCCTGGTGTTGAAGACAAGGGAAAGTTGGTGGGCTGATCAACCCTCCAACTACCCAGGCCCAGAATGGGGTTATGTGTTGGCCCACTCCAACATTCACCCTATCTGTGATCTGCTGCAGTACAGGGGATGGGGATAGGGATGGGGGTTAGTCCTGCAGACCCAGGGCTGCAGGATCTCTACGACACAGGGAAAGTCCCATTGAGGGCTCTGCATTGATGATGTAGCAGAGACTAGGGGCCTCGAACCAGATCAATGATTCTTTGCTATGACTTCCTGCCTGTAAAAATGTATGGATAAAGGGGTTTACTGTGAGACTCACTGTCACACTACAGCTTCCAATATTGTATTATACCAATATTGTATGTATATATGTTGATATTTTCAGTGTTGTATAATTGATATTAATATTATGTTTACCATATCAACAATTTTTTCACTTATGAATCTGACTTCAAGTTAGTTATGCATTTATAAATAAAGTGAGATAGTGAGTAACTTCAATACACAGTTCTTCCCAATAGACAGGCCATCCAGACAAAAATTGAACAGAGAAATGCTGTAGCTGGCTGATATCATAACCAAATGGACCTAGCAGATATTTACAGAACATTTCACCTAAATATAAAAGAACATATTTTCTTCTCAGCACCTCATAGAACTTCCTCCAAAACTGACCACATTCTTGGACACAGAGCAAGTCACAACAGACATAAGAAAATTGAAGTAACACACTGTCCACCATAGATGAAAAGCTAGATATCTGCAACAACCGAAACCACAGAAAGCTTACAAACTCGAGGAGATGGAACAATTCAATACTGAATGAAAAAGGGGTCAAGACAAAAATTAAAGACTTGCTAGGCTAGAATGAAAATGAATACCTAACCTACCCAAACTTTAGGACACAATGAAGGCAATTCTGAGAGGCAAGTGCATAGCACTAGCTGCCTACATTAAAAAAAAAAAATGGAGAGATCTCATACTAGTAACTTAAGAGAATATCTGAAAGCTCTAGAACAAAAAGAAACAAAAGCAAAAAGAGTACACAGCAAGAAATAATGAAACTCAGGGCTGAAATCAATAAAATAGAATGAAAATAAACTATAAAGAATCAATGAAATGAAGAGTTGGTTCTTTGAGAAAATCAATAAGATTAACAAACCCTTAGCCAAATTAACTAAAAGGCCGAGAGAGAAAATCCAATTAACAAAGTTGGAGTTGAAAAGGGTGGGAAATAACAAGACACCTAGGAAATTCAGAGAATCATAAGAACCTACTTTAAAAACCTGTGCTCCACCAAATTGAAAAGAAATGCTTAATTTTCTCAATAGATGCCAATTACCAAAGTTAAAATTAGATCAGATAAGCAATTTAAACAGACCTACAACTTCCAGTGAAATAGAAGCACTCATTAAAAGTCTTCCAACCAAAACAAGTCCAGGGCTAGATGAATTTAGCACTGAATTCTACCAGACTTTCAAAGAAGAGTTAACACCAATACTCTTCAACTCTTCTACAAAATATAAACAGAAGGAACATTGCCCAATTCATTTTATGAGGCCACAGTTACCCTGAAGCCCAAACCATACAAGTACTCAACAAAGAAAGATAATTGCAGACCCAAATCCTTTGTGAACATAAATGCAAATAGTCTCAATAAAATACTTGCACACCAAATCCAAGAGCAAATCAAAAAGATCATCCACAATGATCAAGTAGGCTTCATCCCAAAGATTCAGGGATGGCCCAATATACAAAAATTGATAAATGTAATCTACCATATAAATAAACTGAAAGAAAAATATCACATGGCCATCTCACTAGATGCAGAAAAGATCTCTGACAAAATCCAGCATTCCTGTGTAACAAAAGTCCTGGAGAGACTAGTGACACAAGTGGCACACCTCAGTATAACAAAGGCAATTTACAGCAAGCCCATAGCCAAAAATAAACTTAAATGAAGAGAAACTCAAAACAGTTCTACTGAAATCAGGAACAAGACAAGGTTGTCCACTCTCTCCATGTCTATTGAATATAGTACCTGAAGTTTTAGCTAGAACAATAAGAAAACCAACAGAGATTGAGGAGATACAAATTGGAAGGGAAGAAGTTAATGTATCTCTATTTGTAGATGGTATGATAGCACACATAAATGACCATAAAACTTCCACTTGGGAACTCCAAGCGCTGATAAACACTTTCAGCAAAGTAGCTGGATACGAAGTTAACTTTCAAAAATCAGTAGGCTGCTTAGCTTACACACACATGACAAATGTACCGAGAAAGGAGTCAGGGAAACAATAGCCTTCACAATAGCCTCAAAAATAGAAAATATCTTAGGGTAACTCTAACTAATCAAATGAATGACTCATATGACAGAAACTTTAAGACTTTAAAGAGAGAAATTGAAGAAGATATTGGAAGATGGAAAGATCTCCCATACTCATGGATTAGCAGATTAATACAGTAAAAATGGCCATCCTATCAAAAGCAATCTATAAATTCAGTGCAATCCCCTATCAAAAGTCCAACACAATTCTTCATACCTCTTGAAAGGACAATTTTCAGCTTCATTCAGAAACACATAAAGCCCGGAATAATTAAAACAATCCTTAATGATCAAAGAACTGCTGGAGGTATCACCAATTCAAATTGAACGACAGAGCTATAGTTATAAAAACAGCATGGTATTGGCACAAAAACAGACACATTGACCAGTGGAATTGAATTGAAGATTCAGATGTAAATCCACATGCTAATGGACACCTGATTTTTTGATAAAGAAGCCAGAAATACACACTGCACAAAACACGGGACAATCATATTGCTGGTCAAACTGGATGGCTGCATGTAGAAGAATACAAATAGATTCATACTTACCACCCTGCACAAAACTCAACTCCAAAT